ATGCATCAATTCCCTCAAATTAATGACTCACTGACACTAGAAAAACCAGTTTGTATTCAGTTTACTCACTGTAAAATACAAAGCATCTTCCTACATGTACAGTTTCAATAGGACCAAAGGAAGAGGAGGGTCCTGGGTATGATTATACATGTGACTACAAAAAGAAGTTAATGGAATATTGAGACTTATTTCACTGCCAAAAGAGAACAGTCTCAAGACTTATCTTAGGGCAAAGCCCTAAAGCACCTAAATGGTTATAAAAGGAATCCCTGAGCACACTGAAGTATCATTTTAATAAAAGAAACATGTTCAATCCAGTAAACAGAAAACATTATTACATGTAAGACACTATATGAAACTGAGTAATGATTACAATACATTCCATGTCTTCAAGGAGTTTACAATCTAGTGACGAAAGGAACATACATACACATATATAAGGAGCTCTGCTGGCTCTGTGGTAAGGCACAAAAGCAGGTGGTTCGAATCCACAGGATCAAAATAATTAATTTCCTCCTGTGGGATTTACTGCCTCTGAAAATCTACTGGTCAGAAATGGTACACAATAACAACATTTATCTAAACATGAGACAATAAATCTTTCTCAACTAAGATTACTAATCTGAATCACACAAGATGGAAACTGATTTACACACAATTTCTCAATTGTTTTAAAAATGGAACATAGTACCATTAGAGGTACATCTGGTAGGTGGCTGAGTAATGGGGCAAATGGTAGAATACGGTAGACGATGCATGTCATGTTCCACTTGTATTTTTGGTGGTGGATAATTGGAAGAAAATAATATTTGTAAGTATATAAACAACAAAATCAGATATGTAAAAAGTTATTCTAGAAATAAAAAAGAAGAAAAATTCCCAGCAACACATTACAAAAATTCAAATTCAAATGCATTAACTATAATACAATCAATAAGGAAGAAAAGTTGAACGAGTAGGACTGGAGAGATGTTGTTGTTGTTATGTGTTGTCGAGTCACCTGCGACTCATAGCAACCCTATGTACAACAGCCCTAAGCTCCGCTCTGTCCTGTGCCAATCACACTGTCTCTGACACTCCCATCCCATTTATCCCAGTCACTGAATCAATCCACCTCATAGAGGGCCTTCCCCTCCTTCGCTGTCTCTCCACCCTCCCAAGCATGATGTCCCTCTCTAAGGACCGGTTTCTCCTCACAACATGTCCAAAGTATGTTAGGCAGAGCCTCAGAATCCTTGCCTCCAAGGAGCCACCCGGTTTAACCCTTTCCAGGACAAATCTGTTTGTTTTCCTAGCAGTCCATGGTATTCTCAATACTCTTCTTCAGCACCACAGCTCAAAGGCATCAATTCTCCTTCTATCCTCCTTGGTCATTGTCCAACTCTCTGATGCATAACAAGTGACTGCAAAGACCATGGCCTGTATCAAACGCATCTTAGTCTCCAGAGAGACACCATTGCTCTTCAGTACTTTGGAGAGGTCCCTAACAGCAGACTTTCCTGATGCTGCCAATTGGTCCAGTGGTGAGAATCTTTGTCTTCTTGACATTGAGCCTCAATCCATATTGTAGGCTACAGTCCTTGACGCTCTGCAGAAGGCGCTTCAGGTCCTCTTCAGTTTCAGCAAGCAGGGTTCTGTCATCCGCATTAACGCAGACTGTTGATAAATCGTCCACCAATCTTGACCCCACATTTCTCCTCATAGAGCCCAGCCTCCCAAATAATCTGTTCTGCATATAGGTTGAAAAGGTATGGAGATAGGATGCATCCCTGGCGTACGCCTTTACCAATTTTTAACCATGCAGTGTTCCCTTGTTCTGTTCTGATGACTGCCTCCAGGTCCAAGTATAAGTTTCGCATTAGAACGATCAAGTATTCTGGGATTCCCAGATACCACTGCCAAAAACCAGAAGCCACTTCTCCAAGATGATTAAGATATCAATGATACCACCAAGGTTCAAGACACAGTAGTAACAGCGGGTGAAGGAAGTAAAAACTCCAATGAAAAGAAAAACAAAAAAAACCACAACTCTGTTTTTCTGGGAGTTTAACTATGCTAGATGTAGTTTAGACTCAATATTTTCTATTGGTTATAAAAAAATCATAATTAAAAGTCGAAATTTTAAAATATTTTATATCACTTCTTCAAAATAAAATATTAATGAAACTACAAATTCAAAAACGTGGTATCTCAGAAGTAAATAATTTATTCAACTACCAAGACCAGCTTACTGAGAAGCTAATCTACACACACACACACACACACACATATAGAGAGATAAACATTTTGTTGTTGTTGTCGTTGTTATTATCATGTACCATTGAGTTGGGGCTGACTCATAACGGACCCTCCAGCGGGTTTTCAGAGGCAGTAAATCTCATGGGAAGAGACTGCCATCATTTTCCCACAGAGCAGCTGGTGTATTTAAGTCATGTGCCTTTAGGTTTGGCTGTGTAACTCCTTCCACTAAGCCACCAGAACCCCCTAGAGATAAATATAGATGTATCTATACATAGGAAAAGAGACAGACAGCTATGGATACTCCCTTAGACCTCCAGAGGCTCACCATCCACCCTTTAAGAAAGAGCAGAGGTGCTACAAAGTACTTCCTAGGCTGTAATTGTTACAGAATACACACACACCCCACACACACACACACAGAGAATTCATATACATATACAGATATAAAATGTACATGTATATTTTACATACAATAATTTATAAATTTATGCATATATAAATATTAGTTGGACCACTGCCATTACAATGATTCTGACTTATAGGGAATGCACAGGAAAGAGCTTAACTGCCCTACAAAATCTCCAAGATTATAAATTTAATTTTTTTTTCTTAGATGATAAATTTTTATAAGAGCACATAGCCGCATTTTGTTTCAAGTAGTGGTTGGTGGGTTTGAACTTCCAACTATAGAGTTAGCGGTACAAGGCTTAACCCACTGAATTATAGGGCTCTTTGTAAATATTTGAGAAATACCTGATGTCATTTTCAATTATTTTTAAGTAAGATATAAACAAACATTTTTGAGAACAAAAAGTACATTATAGAATCCTATTGAGCAACAATTGAACACAGATACATATTCAACAAAAGTTAAGACTTAAAACATGGCACCATACTATCAGTTTCAAAGACCGTGAAAGTAATTTTCTACACCTAGTTTATAAAAAAAAAAATTATAATATCTGGGATGTCTTTTTATGTAAATTTCATAATAAAGTTTAGTAATCTCAGGTCACTCCAGCATAACGCCTTTAAATTAACATCATCACTAATACATATAATTCATGTGCATTCAACACAGAGCAATTTAATTACTACATAAATGTGTATAATAACATGAACCACAGCTACAAATATCTAAAACCCACAGAAATGAAACTCATTGAAGATATCTGATTCTTACTCATGAATAATGTTAAATTTTTCTTTTTTGAAAGTCAAAATTCTTGAATTAATTAACATTTCTAAGTAAAGTTACCTTATGTAGTCTGCCCAGAAATTTAAAAACCCACACCATAACCATTTGTATCAATACTGTTTATAAATTCATAGTGTCTATAAAATTAAGGTGTTCTACCAAAAGTTCTAAATTTTAATTAGCTTGTTTTGAATTTTGGTCTTCAAATTTCTTCCCTTATCACAAATCTAGGGTCAATTCCAAACACTACCACAGAACTGTAGAGTAATGCTTCTAAATTCAGACACTAAAACAAAGTATGGTTACCACGGATTTGTTAATGATCATTTGGACGAAACATTATCTATAGCTATAGCTTTATCTATTTATATGGTACTAAAATTGTTATTTTAAAACTTTCACAAATTATTTTTAGTAAACCCATAAATCAGTTACTGGTGTAACTGATTTTAAGTTCTAATAGTTAAGCTTTACAAGATAACATATTTACTTAATTTACTGAACAAGGCATTTTATCTTTGGTTTCTATCTTCATACACATATCTTACAAAGATTATAGGGACCAATGATCTAATGCTTACAGATTGCTGCAAGTACTAAGAAAGAAATGTGTTATGTAAATAAAGCTTAGCAGGAAGGAGCTGCTTTAGTCATTAAACTACAGGGCTTTCCCATTTTCTTTTATCAAGTTTTAACAATTAATGTGCAAGTATTAGAAAACTAAAGTAAAATCAAGGGATATAGAAGTCCACAGTAATCTGAATGCAAGAGTTAAAAGAAACATACTAAAAACCAGGGTTTACAGAAGCCTAAAGCAAATATATACAAACATGACCAGCTTTCCTGGACTTGTATATTATTAAGCACTACTGAAAGTCCTTATAAAACACTGGACCAGATGTAATGTCTACACAGCAGAGACCAGAAAAATTTAATTAATTTAATCTGATACCTACATCTGCATTTTCAGAAACAGGTTGGGAGAAGAATTAAGAATATCCATAATGTATGTACACACTACACACCAGATACAGTACAAGCAAGCTGCATGTAAAAGTGTCTCTGTGTGTGAACACACACACACACACTCTGGAAGTAGTCTTCAAAAAGACAAAAAAGTTAGGAATGGTGAGAAAGAATAAAAGGAAAAGAAAAAACTATGAGGTAATTTCTTCTCTACTATTAATTACTTATTAAGAAACAAACCATAATGTACACTTTAAAGCATTAAAATAAAAGCAAAACTCTCCAAAGAAGAGAAATGCGAATACTTTTCATTCTACATCACTCTTAAGTAACAACAAAAAAACAAAAAACAAAAACTCCACCAAGTTAAGAGTACACAAAACTTATTTTGTGGAATTAGATTCCATAACAACATTCAAAATCTAACTCCAAAGGAAAATTATTTCCAATAATTATTGCTACTATGTCACTAAAAATAGCAAAGTATGACAAGGAGAATGAAAATATTTCCACTTCTAATAAAACCCTAGAATAATTTTTTTTCTTCAAACATACATTTTTTTCAAACAGCACAAAGTATGAGACAGTAACTTACTTGTGTTGGAACAAGCACTGGAGGATACGCCATCTTGTGATGCTTATACACCCAAAATGCACAAATAACAATCCCTGCAATTAACATAAGTGGCACCAAAGAATACAGCAAGATGTTGTAATAGGGTGGCTTGGGTGTAACCGGATTTGAAGTAGCTGTGAAAGAGAGGAAAAGGGTCCAACTTACTATATATAAATAATTGTTTATTATTATGTGAATTTCAGGAAAAGAGAAAAGGTAAGAATAAATTATTCGACTCAATATGAGCATACTTTAATAGTTGAAAAGAACTGTGTCTTTTCTTGTGAACTTACGCTGTGTGACTTCCATCTCTGGAAAATAAGAAAACCTTTCATTACACATATTGCCCTCACAGCAACAAAAATACACTTCCGGGCTGTCTTTCTTTTCTATACAATCAGTCCTATAAACAAAGGAGAAAATAAATTAAAATTAACATTATTATACTGGATCCACAACAGGTATTTTCTCAAAGTTCTTCTCAGAGAAAAGTCATTTATATGCCATGACAGGATTTTATTACGATCAATACTTAAAAGCCAAAAATGTTCTTATTAATAAATTTATCAGAAAAAATGTTTAGTTTGAAAATGAAATCAATCAAATTTGAAATAAATAAAAAAAATGTTCCTATTAATAAATTTTATCAGGAAAACACACCAACTGCTAATTTTAAAACAAGCACATTTGCTTTCTCAGACCACTGCTATGGTTTTTAATGACCCATTTGTGGCAACTATCGTTTTTATCTGTTAATCATTAAAAAGCTTGAAAAGTAGCTTTTTCAAAATTAAGGAATATAAAGCCAAAAATGAAGAAAATTTAGTCTGTGTATGCTATTGCTCCTTAGTAATATAATTTCTCAGTTTCATTAATATAAAAACCATAAACAGAACTAGAATATAAAAAACATACTACTGCATATCATATACAAGCAAAACACAGATTAAAATGAGACATCCAAATTGGGCTCGGGAATGAATGGTGTCATTTTTGGGGAGCACAATGAACAGAGCAGAGATAAACAATAAATAAAGAATAAAGATGTAACAAGTAGCAGGAACTAGTAACTCAAAAACTAAGAGTCAGACAGGTTCATTTAAAGCATGGGGAAATGTGGAGTATACAAAGTTGTTGAAACGACATGGTGGATTCAGTATTTAGAAATAAACAGCCATAATTATGAAAGAAAAATGCCAACATACTTTTAAATACAGCTAATAAGCATTAGGCAAATTTAAAGACATATCTTAAAAAATAAAGTGTGAATTGCTGTGATGGTTGTTAGGCTATGAAGGTTATATTTAAATTCTAAAATGAAAAGCCTAAAAAATTTCAAAGGGAAGACAGTTTTACCAAATCAAACTTTGAAATAAAACTAAATTAATATCTAGTTTTTAGAAAGTCTAATGGCTTACTGGTAAGGATTTGAGTTATGAACTCCAAGGTATACAATGTGAATCCACTAGCTACTCTATGGAAAAGGTGGGCCATCTCCTTCTGTGTCATTTACCTATGAAAATCCACTGGGAGTCAGCTATGAGATGACCCCAACTCAACCAGACTCAACATCTATTTTTGAGAACATTGCTACTGTTAGAATTAGTTACCAGAATATACCTAGCAATTCAAAGTCATTTTAAAAATTACTTTTTCCCAATTTCACATATACTAAAAAATAAAAGCCGTATAGTTTATATATTAAAAACTAAAACCTCCTATCATTTAGATTTTTTTTACTTTTCTTATCCTTATTGTTTTTGAATCAAATTCACAGCACAAAAAAAACCAAAAATTTACAAATCTTAATGCACTCCCAAGAGTAAACGTGTACTTAGTAATGTACTTTATTTCAAATACAAATTCAAGAAAAATGGAAAAATCTAAGCAGTTTAACACTGCCTGGATTTCCACTAATTAGAATGCTGATTTTAAGTAAGAAGCAGTTAACTTTCTGCCACAGAAGAATAGCAATCTCTGATTTTAACTAATTAAAAGATGGTCTGGAATACAAAGTATCCCAAAACTTTGTTCCCTACCCTAATATTATCCTGCATCAAAACCTACCTGTTGCTGTAAGGTTCAGTTGGCCTCATCCCTACAGGACAAAGCAGAACTAACTCACAGAGTTTGCAAACGTAACTATCAACTCTTCAGTTTACTAGCCAACTGCTTTAATCACTGCACTCTTCTCCCTGCTTACCTTTCATATTAGGACTTATCATTTGTTGATCACTTCTGTAAACAGAAATGCAACTACAATGTATAATTTTAAAGATCATTTCCTGGATTACTAACTTAGAAGCATATATAAAATACGAAGCATGTACGTCAGTGATTATATCTTAATTTCCCATGAAAAGTGGAATAAATTCCATTTTCGCCAGCTAACTCAATGCATTTTGTTATTAGTCACACAAGACCAATCAGTCATAGTAGTCAAATGAGGTTCCTGAAAAACAACCCAGAAATTGTCTAACGTTCAGTACTTTTTGGCTCTCCTTTATCTCTGAAGTCATCAACAATCATCACCACAAAAAATTCTATGTGGAAAATGCACACCAGCAACCAGTTCATCTATGGAACAGCTAATAGAAAGATCATAGGCAATAAAATAACTACTGTATCTCATTTCCAGTACAGAATAAAACTATTTAAACAAGGGCTTTTCAATAAAATGTAGCTTTCTATGTGGGCTGTGTTGTTCTGATGTAATGTCTCTAGGGTAAAGAACAAAGGCTTACTTTTTGCAAGAAAAAAGGGAGGGAGAAGGGGCTAGAGAATGCAGGGAAGATCATTTTCTCTGAGATATATAAAGAAGAAAATTAAAAGGAAATTATATACTACAAGTTAAGTTTTACTCTTTGAGGACAGATCTTATGGCAGATAAACAATCTTTCAAAACAAAGTTTTAAATAATTTTTCCTTTATATTGGCAAAAATAATAAAATTATCATCTTTAAAAAAGCAGTAAAGAAAAAAGTTAACTTATCTCAAGTTCTCACTAGATTATTCAAAGTAAACAAAAGCTTATAATGTAAACATTCCATGTTCATTTTATTTTAGTGAAGGTTTACAAATCATGTTGGCTTTCCATATAATTGTTAGACATTTTATTTATAACATTACTTGTCATCACTGATTAATGTACTTAATCAGTTACAATGTCTAATCAACGTCTTATTTTGTACTGCCCAGTCACCCAATTTTTGCATTTACTTGATTCCACTTTCCCTCTTTCCTCATGCCTACTATCCCCAAGACTGAGTTTATCTGTGTCCAACTTTTCTTTAGCTTTATATAATAACGGTCTTGAATCACAATTCTCTTTTGGTGCCTAGCTTATGTCACTCATCAGAAAGTTTTCTAGATTCATCGATGTTTTGCAGCATTTCACAAATTCTGGATCATTTTTTACTAACACACAATACTCCACTGTGAAAAGGTACCACAGTTTCTTTAGCCATTCATCTATTCATCTATTGAGGTTTGTTTCCAACTCTCTGCTATTATAAATAATGCTGTAATATGCATGAGTTGTGTATGTCAGACTGAGTTCCAATCTCTCAACATCCTCACCAACATTTATCTTGTTAATTTTGCTATTGTTCCCAAGCTAATACCTCATTGTTGTTTTGATTAGTCTTCCCAATGTCAGTCTAGAGACTAAGGTGGGCCTGATCTAGGCCCACACTTACTTGCTATGCTTCAAGACAGCTGGACAATGACTAAGGATGATAGAAGAAATGATGCCTTTGAGCTGTGGTGCTAGACAAGAGTAATGACTACACCACGGACTGCTAAGAGAACAAATAAGGGTGAAACCAGGCTGCTCCTTGAAGGCAAGATTTCTGCAGTTTTGCCTGACATACTTTGGGCATGTTGTAAGGAGGGATCAGCCCTTGGAGAGGGGCATCATACTTGGAAGGGTGGAGGGACAGCACAGGAGGGAAAGACACAGGATAAAATGAATTAACTCAGTGACTGAGATAAAGGGGATAGGTGTGTCAGAGAGGATGAAATTGGCTCAAGACAGAGCAGGGTTCAGAGCTGCTGTACACAGGGTCACTATGAGTCAGAGCTGATTTATAGCACATAACAACACCTAATGACCCTAGACATTTCTTCCTGTGTTTGCTGGATTTCTGAATGTCTTCTCTCCAGTACATAACTGACTTGTCTTTCTCTTGTTGAGCTGTTGGAATATCTATAAATTTTAGAAATTAATTGATGTTTCCAAATACACGTTCCCAGTATATAGGTTCTCTACTCCTCTGGAGAAATTATCTGACAGACAATGTGAATTTTTGTTCTTAATTTTTTTTACTTTTATTATTTTTGTGTATGTGTACTGTCAAATCAGATCTGACTGGTAGAGGAGATTGTCCCTCTTTCTCCAGCAAAGCATCTGGTGGATTTGAACCGCTCAGCTCTAGGATTGCAGGGCAGCTTCTTGCCACAAGGCCACCAGAACTCACCGTGAATTTAATTTTTAAGATTTCTCAATAACCTAATATATACCCTGTTGACTGTGCATTTTCAGTTATATTCGATAGGACTTGGAGCCAAAGATTAGGGCTCCTATGTCTGTGCTTAATTTTCTTTGACAATCTTTACAGTTTTGAGTTTCATTCTCTGATCTATCCTGAGTTATATTTGTATATGGTGAGACATATGAAGCTTGTTTTCATTTTCTGCATGAGGCTTTGAACACTAATGAACGAAGGCCAGATGAGTTGTGGGAGGATATCAAGGGTATCATCCAGTAAGAGTGCAAACGGTCATTGCAAAGACAGAAGAGGAAGAAAAGATCAAAATGGATGAAGAAGAGACTCTGAAGATTGCACTGGAGCGCAGAGAAGCCAAAGCACAGGGAAGAATTCAAGATACTAAAGAGTTGAACAGAAGATTTCAAGAGGCAGCACAGGATGACAAAGCAAAATATTACAATGAAATGTGCAAGGAGTTGGAGTCGGAAAATCAAAAGGGCTGAACTCGCTCAGCATATCTTAAGCTCAAGGAACTGAAGAACAAATTCAAACCTCGAGTTGCTATAATCAAGGATGCTTTTGGCAGAATGTTAAATGATCCCGGAAGTATTAAAAGAAGATGGAAGGAATATACTGATACTGAGTCACTGTATCGAAAGGAATTGGAAGACACAGAAGAATTTCATGAAACAACATATGAGCAAGAGAATATGGTGATGAAAGAAGAAGTTCAGGCTGCTTTGAAGGACATGGCAAAAAATAAGGATCCAGGAATAGATGGTATACCAATTGACATATTTCAGTTAACAGATGCTGCCCTGGACGTGCTCACCAAGTTGTGCCAAGAAATCTGGAGAACGACCACTTGGCCAACTGACTGGAAGAGATCGATATTTGTTCCTATCCCAAAGAAAGGTGACACAACCGAATGTGGAAACTACAGAACAATTTCACTGATTTCACATGCAAGCAAGATTTTACTGAAGATTATACAAAAACGACTGGAACAGCACATCAACAGAGAACTACCAGAAGTCCAGGCTGGTTTCAGAAGGGGTCGTGGTACTAGAGATATTGTAGCTGATGTTAGATGGATCTTGGCTGAAAGCAGGGAATACCAGAGGAATGTCTATCTGTGTTTCATTTGACTATCTAAAGGCATTTGACTGTGTAGATCATAACAAACTGTGGCTGATTCTGAGAAGAATGGGAATCCCAGAACACTTGATCGTTCTAATGCGAAACTTATACTTGGACCTGGCGGCAGTCATAAGAACAGAGCAAGAGAACACTGCATGGCTCAAAATTGGGAAGGGCGTACGCCAGGGATGCATTCTATCTCCATACCTTTTCAACCTATATGCAGAACAGATTATCAGGGAGGCTGGGCTCTATGAGGAGAAATGTGGGGTCAAGATTGATGGACGATTTATCAATAATCTGCGTGATGCGGATGACACAACCCTGCTTGCTGAAACTGAGGAGGACCTGAAGCGCCTGCTGCAGAGTGTCAAGGACTGCAGCCTACAATATGGATTGAGGCTCAATGTCAAGAAGACAAAGATTCTCACCACTGGACCAATTGGCAGCATTAGGATGGATGGTGAAGAGATTGAGATCGTACACAGCTTTAGTTTGCTTGGCTCCATAGTCAACAGTATTGGCACCAGCAGTCAGGAAATTAAAAGGCACATTGCCATGGGTAAGTCTGCTGTTAGGGACCTCTCCAAAGTGCTGAAGAGCAATGGTATCTCTTTGGAGACTAAGGTGCATCTGATACAGGCCATGGTCTTCGCAATCACCTGTTATGCATCAGAGAGTTGGACAATGACCAAGGAGGATAGAAGGAGAATTGATGCCTTTGAGCTGTGGTGCTGGAGAAGAGTATTGAGAATACCATGGACTGCTAGGAAAACAAACAGATTTGTCCTGGAAAGGGTTAAACCGGGTGGCTCCTTGGAGGCAAGGATTCTGAGGCTCTGTCTAACATACTTTGAACATGTTGTGAGGAGAAACCGGTCCTTAGAGAGGGACATCATGCTTGGGAGGGTGGAGGGAAAGCGCAGGAGAAGAAGGCCTTCTATGAGGTGGACTGATTCAGTGACTGGGATAATTGGGATGGGAGTGTCAGAGACAGTGCGATTGGCACAGGACAGAGCGGAGTTTAGGGCTGTTGTACATAGGGTCGCTATGAGTCGCAGGCGACTCGACGGCACATAACAACAACAACAGACACCCAGTTTTGTCAGAACCAAAGAGGCTGTCTTTCCAGACTTAGTGGATTTTATCTATTTGTCAAAGATTCGCCGTCAATAGTGGGATGGGTTTATTTCTGGGTTCTCAATTCTATATAACCTCTCATTGGACGATTATACCAAGTTATTGTGATTTCTGTGGCTATGTAGGCTTAGAGATTGGGAAGTAGAGGAAGGCCTCCCACTTGTCTTTCTTGTTCAGTATTGCTCTGATTATCTGGGTTGTCATTCCTTTCCATATCAAGTTGGTGATTAAGTTTTCCATTTCACTAAAGAAGGAAGATATGATCTGGATTAGGATTACACTGTAAAATGTAGATCACTTCTGGCTGTTGTGTGTGCCATCAAATCAGAACCAACCCATAGCTGAAACTGTAGCAAGTTTTCAGAGGCAGTAAATCACACAGGAGGGGACTTTCTATGTCTCTCTCACTGAGCAGCTCATAGATTTGAACCATGTACCTTTGCACCTACAGCACTGCTTCTTCCTATTAAGCTACCCAATTCCATAATGTTAAATCTTCCAATTCATGAGCATAGTATATTTTTCCATTTATGTAGGTTTCTTATGGTTGTGTTTTGTAGTTTTCTTTGTATAAGTGTGTGTCTCTGGCTAGATTTTTTTTCTAAATCTTTAATCTCTTGGTTGGCTATTGCAAATCGAATTTTTTTTTCCATTTCCTTTTCAGAGTTTTCTTCATTACTGTTGAACAGTCCAACCAGTTTTTGTATGTTGATTTTATACCCTGGCACTTTGCTAAATCAGTCAACTAGATCTACTCGTTTTCTACAGAGTCTTTGATAATTTTCTAGCTACAGTATCACAACATTTGCAAAAAGAGATACTTTCATTCTCTCTCAACAACCTGAATTCCTGTTGAGGATTTCCAATACAATGTTGAATAGAAGTACAATAAAGAGCAACCCTGTCTGTTTTTCATTCACAAAGGGGGAATGCCATCTGTCTAGACCCCCACTTTGCCCAGAATTTTCTGTTTATTTTTCATTAAAATATCTTTTCTGTTATTAGAGCATGTTATAATGTTTCTCATAATCCCAATTCAAAAAAGAAAAAAAAAATCTCATTTAAGTGAAAATCCACGCTTTAACCATTCCCTTTTTAAGGAGGAGGAAAGAAGGAAATTACTGAACATTATTAAAAAATAAATAAAATGCTTCCTTACCTGTCATAACAGTTGATATCATCCAGCCAACAACCTTGTTTCACTATTTCAATGGAACCAGAAATATTCTTCCACGTTGCAAAACAATGTCGCCGTTTATCTTTGTCACCGTAACAGGGCTCAACGCCAGTTCGATTGGTTCGATCTCTTTCCCAATTAGCATTATAGAAAATACACTCCTGAGTTTCTGATCTGCCAAGTATAGCACCTAATAAGATAATAAAAACAACAATGTAATTGTACTAGCTCTGAAAACAGTAAATCAACTCCCGATACACAAATATTTACTGTTTATAAAATGAAATGTATTTCTTTGTCTCTCAGTACTATTTGGTTTAGGTTTCCAAGTATACTATTATTATAGAAACTGATCACCTATATCATAACATTTTTCTGGGAAAAGCAAGTTTTATTTAAGAGTATCCTTGATGAAATAGTAGACTGCTGTCTCAAGAAAAAGCCCTTGTCTCAATGATTCCACTGCAAACCAAACAAACAATTACTATACATACTTGAGCTTCTCGTAGCCATGGTTCAAAAGTTAATGTTTCTTACTTCAAGGAAAACAATGCACAATATATATTGTGAGTGATAAAAGTTGAGCTTTCAAGCAAAAAAAGAAAAAGAATCTTGGGAAAACTTCTAATTTATCACTGCCAATATAACATTTTCCCAAAGAGGTCACAGGTGATATTAATAAATATGTTTTAAATACTGTACAATTAAATGTGACACTATTTAAGGGTCTACAGAATTCAGAGAATTAATATTGAAGTATGAGTAATGTTACAACAGTATTTATGAGTTTAAATACATATCTCCAGTGTGCAAGATAGATTAGACCAATGTAATTTATTATAACATAGGACCAAAAGTTCATTTATAGTTACAGATTACACAATGTGGCTAGCTTTTAAGAAACTGTCTCTTCCATGGAAAAGTAAAAAGCTAGAATAGTTTCCTTACTATCTTGAGGAAGAAGAAGGTAACTAAGGAAGATTCATACCCAACTGTAAGACTTTAAAAAAAGTTTTATCAATCAAGACAGTGTGATCATAATGAAAAAATACACAATAAAAAACAAAATTAAAAGTTCTGAAATAGACAAAGGCATGGTTAAATAGTGTACAACCTGAGTGTCACCAAAATCCAACAAAGAAAACGCAGTCTTCTTAACAATTAATGCTGGAAACAATTAGGCATACACATAGAGGGGAAGAAGGAATTTTTCATGCCACAACTCAAATATATCATAACCTAAAACTAAAAACTTTCGTGACCAAGAATTACAAAAATACTTTTAGAGAGAACATGAAACACATGATCTATAAAAGAATGAATAAATGGGGCCTCATCAAAATTAAAAACAATTCTTCAAAAGCCGCTGGGAAAAAATACTTGCAAAACACACGCACATATATGAAATCTCATTACTCAATAATGAAATAAAATGTCCAATTTGGTTTTTTTTAAAAAAAAAAAAAGAGGTGAATGACTCAAACAACTGCTTCACCAAAGAAGAAATATAATGGGGAAATTCCATGTGAAATAATGCTTTGTATTACTGGGGAAATGCAAATTAAAACCATAGCAAAATGCTACTCAAACCACTCACAATGGCTTAAAAAAAATCAAATGCTAGTTGTTATGTGGATTAACAGAATTTTCACAAGTTGGTTATGGGAGGGCAAAAAGATCCAATCACATTTTAAAAGGCTGGCAGGATTTTATATTTAAACACATACTATTCATTAACTGCATGCCTAGGTATTTACCTATGCAAAATGATAGTGCATGTCAACATAAAAAAAACACACAAGCATTTACAGCAGCTTTGCTTATAAATATCAAAAACCAGATATGACTAAATAGTACAGAAACAATTAGCGAGCACTTCTAGTGGCCTAGAGAGGGAACTCTGGCGGCCTAGTGGCAAGAAACAATGCTGCAATCCAGAAGACATAAAGTTCTAGTCCATCAGCTGCTCCACGGAAGAAGGATGGACAATCTCTTCCAATGCAATGAATTACCTATAAAAATCCACCAGTGGGTCAACTATAGGTTGGTTCCAATTTGATGGTACAAAACAACAGTGACCTAGTGATAAGCTACACTACGCAGTTCCAAAGTCACGTAGACCATGATTCAAATCCACCAGCTTATGTGCTGGAGAAGGATGGGCAATCTTCTCCAGTGTGATTAACTCTCTCTGAAAACCCAATGGAGTGTCAGCTATGAATTGGTTCCCACTCGACAGCACACAAGAAGTAAAACAAATAAAGGCATTTGACTGTGTGGATCATAACAAACTATGTCTGACTCTGAGAAGAATGGGAATCCCAGAA